GTTTATTTTAGTTTTTATTGACTTAAAATAATTGTCTATTCATTATCTACTTGCAGTGATTTATATTACTTTTATTGTCTACTTGCAGCGATTAACCTGTATAGGGATGCTACAAGCTGCACTTCGTGGTGAAGTAATAGCAGGGAAATCCAAATATTTGGTACAGACGACCCACGATTTGTTAGTGCATAACACTCCTACAGATAATGCTGAGGAGATTGTGGAGGAAGATGGTGGAAGTGATGGCGAGGATATAGAAGGTGGAGATGACAACAACTAGAGTGAGGATGGAGATAGTGGAGATGAGGAAAGCAATACTAAAGAGGGAGATGGTGGAGATGAGGCAAGAGAGAGCGAGGCTGGTGAGAAAGATGAGAAGAGAACAAAAAGCAAAAATGACAAGGAAATAGAGAGCTAGATTGATGAGGAAAATGAGTGGAGAACAAAAGCAAAAATGATAAGGGCAAGGCTATTGCAAGTTGGCCAAAGAGATGGTTGAGGCCAAGAAAATGAAACTTATGTATTTTTTTGAAATTGAAGCTACTATATCATAATAGACAGTTAATGCAATTTACATTCTTTTGTTGGCATTATGTTAATGAAAGCATTATGTTGATGTGTTCTTTATCAATACCCTTTTAAGTACTCAATGTGTTGTTCTTTATCAATACCCTTTTAAGCACTCAATGTGTTGTTCCTTATCAATACCCTTTTAAGTACTTAATGTGTTGTTCTTTATCAATACCAATATGTTGTTCTTTATCAATGTGTTCTTTATCAATACCCTTTTAAATACTCAATGTGTTGTTCTTTATTAATGTAGTTCCCGCTTTGAAACTTGGTCAAGCATAGGCCAACGAGTTTGTAACTTTATCAATATAGTTCATGTTTTGAAAAGGTTGATATGAATGAGTTTGTAAAGATTGATATGATAAAATTGTTGATGGATTCAATTTTCTTGGATCATTGCATAAATACTTGTTCATAGGTCAATACATAGGCCAAAGCCATTGGGTTGATGGATTCAATTTTCTTGGATCATTGTATAAGCACTTGTTCATAGGCAAAATCCATTCGGTTGATGGATTCAATTTTCTTTGACAAATCTATTGAGTTGATGGATTCAATTTTCTTCGATCATTGCATAAGCACTTGTTCATAGGCGAAATCCATTGGGTTGATGGATTCAATTTTCTTGGATCATTGCATAAGCACTTGTTCATTGGCCAAATCCATTGGGTTGATGGATTCAATTTTCTTGGAAATCCATTGGGTTGATGGATTCAATTTTCTTGGATCATTGCATAAGCCCTTGTTCATAGGCCAAATACATTGGAAATTACATGTTCATATTTCTTGTAACATATATGGGCACTCCGGCACTTGTATAAAGTGCTCCGACACTTACACAAAGCGCTCCGGCACTTGCAGAACGTCCTCCGGCACATGATGAAGCAACTCCCACACTTCATTATAATAGACCGGCACTCAACTTGCTGGATGCAAGATCAATCCGGCACTTCACTTGCTCGGTCTAGTAAAAACTAGATTCATTGGCACTCCAACGAAGCACATCGGACCGGCTCCCTAGAAAATTATCAGTCCGGTGTTAAAGCAAAGCGCTCTGGCAAAGTATACAAGCACTCCGGGAAAATCACGAAGAAGTCCGGCAAAGGTTTATGAGGCCAGATCAGTCTGGCACTATATAGGAGCAAAGCGACGATAATGTGAAGCAGTCCACCGATTTGTGACCTCGGTCCCGTGAAAAGCTCACTGGATTCATGAGCACTCCGGCGTTCTGAGCACACCTGAACGATGTTTTGCTCCCTGGAAAATTATCTGTCTGATGATTAACTAAAGCAATCCGTCGATATACAAAGGCACTCCGGCAAAATCTTTAATCATTCCGGCAGAAAGGTATCAAGCTACATTAGTTCGGCATTCTAGAGGAGCAGACCGACGATACATTCAACTAGTCCAGCGATTTTGATCTTCAGTCCGGTGAATAGCTCACTAGATTCATGGCACTCCAGCAATGGAAGAACAGCGGCCCGGCACTATGCCCCCTGGAAAATTATCAGGCCGATACTACTGCAAAGTGCTCCGGCGTTATACACAATCACTCTGGCACAATCAATCAGCAGTTTAATAGAGTTGTAACAAGCTAGGTTAGTCCAGCATTAGATAGAATTAGACCGACGATATCGTCAGGTAGTCCGGCTTTTGTGAGCCTCGATCCGGTGAGTAGCTCTCTGGATACATGGGCTCTCCAGCATGTCAAGAATAGCGGACCAGCAATTTTCTCCTTGGAGCTAGAGGAGTCTGTTCAAACCAAAGATTTATGAGCACGATCCGGCGAATTTGTACTTGGTTAACTCCGGCATTGTTACTACTGGAGTGGGTTCAGTCTGGTGTTATAGATGTGCATTCCGACGTATCATTGTTTGCTAAGCACTCTGGTAGTTGTGAAAAGCAGTCCGGTATGTAGTATTTGTCTGGCAACTAATAACCGCGGTCCGGTGATGTTTTATATTGGGTCCGTCCAAAGGATTTGGTCATACGGCGATAGTACGGTAAGGGGTATTTTGGTCAAAAAAAGAGTAACTTTTTCAGTTGGGGGGGTATTAGTAAGAAAAGCTAGTTTTTTATAAAAAGAAGTAAGAAAATATTAGGATGGGGATAGAGTGTTTAGAAAGTACAAATTGGAGTGGCTTTAGTAATTTTCTCAAAAAAGAAAATTTAAATAACTATCGCCGTTGCTTTAATTTCCTCGAGTGTTACAATTTTTTTAAGGTTGTGTTCATTCAAAAACTAACTCCTTATTGATTTTAAGTTTTTGAGTTTTGGTTTGGAAACAAGCTTGCTAAAGTGACTTTTTTATTTTTTTGGGTAATTTCTAAAGTGACTTTAAATCAATAGACTTTACTTAATCAATAAAATAAAAAATTTCACCAATGAATTCCCACAAGGGGTCGAGGGCGAGGGGGAGGGGATGGTTTGGTGGAGATGTCCCCTTGGAAGGAAATTAGAAGGGGTTGGGGACCAAAAGAGTGAGTGAAAGGGTGCAGGGAAAAGGGAGAGGGGATAGGATGAGTGACAAGGGTTGGCACCAAAAAAAGGGCTGATGGGATTAGGCTCCTGAGGGAATGGTGTGGAGTGGGGAATAGGATAAGAGCATCGGAGGAGGCCATCTGGGATTGAGGAAGGAGGGCCATGGGGTTGAAAGACAGGATCAGGGGTTACTGAGGTGGGAGTAAAGGAGGGGGAGGAAGGGTTAGAGCCCAGGGAAGAGGAATTGGATCACAAAGGGCTTAATGGAGGAGGAAAAGTAGGATGGATTGAGAGGGCCAAAGTGGAGGATGGTGGGGTGGTGTTATGTGGAGGAAAGGTGTAGAGGTCGAAATTAGAGAGAGGCCAACCCACGGTGGACCAGGGGTAGAGAGTTAAGAGGATGAGGGCTAGGAGAGAGCTCTCGGGGTTGGGAAAGGCGAAGAAACAAAGTCACAAGAATGGGAAGAGGCCAGATAGAAACAGATAAGTTGGGATGAGGGTAGAGAGGAACAAGGGTAGCCGTCAGATGAGGGAGAGGGATTGACGAGAAAGGAGGTGCTTCCAGGTGTCGATTGATGAGACTAGAGACAGTATCAACGTAAAGTTAGAACTTTCGAGGAATGATCTGAAATCTAAACGTTTTAAGGGAAGGTTGGCACCCAAGGCTGCCGGGGGGTGCCCTAGATTGGACTTTCATAAGGGGCTAGGCAAGCGGTGGAGGGTTGGACCTGTGTACTACAACTTTGGGAGCATCATGGTCGCTAGGATGGTAAGATCTAGAGTAATGATGGGGAGGCCTCCTTTTACAGATGACTGTAGTAGCTTGAAGTGGGTCTTTCTACTCTCTGAGAGTGGGTAATGGAGGGGGGGAGGCCACAGCCCAAGACCCATGAACATGATAGAAGAGGCCACAAGGGAGAAATGAGGAGCAAGCACGTCTATGAGCAACCGGATAGAGCCCATGGAGAGCCATTCCGCCGATATCCAGTGCACCCATACGAAGTCCCATACGAAGTCTTCGAAATGGTCTCCAATTGATTTGAAGGTGTGAGGGTGCCAAGCATGTAGAGACAGGAGAAGCCGAATCCTTTATATTTTTAAAGCACCCATGAAAGGGGACCAAAGCAGTGAGGGAGGGGGAGGCATCTGTGAAAGAGGGGTTGGATGACTGAAGGGCAGGGCGCTTTGAGTGCAGTGCTAAGAAGAAAAGGTGTAAAGGATGGAGCCGTTGATGATTGGGTGAGTTTGGGCTCAAATTTAGGGGAAATGGTGGGGAGATTTGAGAGTCGAGAAGGAGGAGCGTTTGAGGAGCTAGGCATAGTTATTATAGAGTGGCGGGAGAGGAGCGGACTTCCAATATTATTGGGATTTGCCTGTGTGAAGTAATGGTGGCCCAACGTCTACAATATCCAGCGTAACACTATATAACGTCGGCACCAAACAACTTGCATTTCAAAACCCGCTTTGTGCAGCTCTTATACTGCCGCGGCCTGTATATATAACATGTATAAAAATCATAACTAGATTTTTTTTATTATATCTACTAAAGTCAGTTTGGATGCACCATTAAACATGAAACCACTTTTTGCATGCTCCTCGTAAATTATTTCATCCATTTTTTACCCAATTTGAAAGATGCAGCCAATACTTGCTAAATTTCAACAAACCTTACAACAAAAAATACTTATTTTACTTTGGGTCATGATTAATGCCAGTCAATAGCACTTATTCAGTCCATCCAAATCGCCCTTGGTATTTATATGGTATGGTACACGCACCATGTGAAGAGGAGGCACGGTTCCTACCTGTTTTATCATGTTCTGGGAAAACCAATTGCCTCAGAATAATAGCATGAACTTTAAGAACACCATCAGAAGAATTTTACTCGATTCATATTTTTATCATGAAGAGAAACTGGATTATAAGTGAGCCTAGCTGTATACCTTACATTAACATAAAGATCCCCAGGCATTTAAAAATAAAATCGTTACCATGGGAAAAGGAAAACAGTGATAGCTTTATCCAAGCATGTTACTGTACATTTTACATGCAGAAAAATCAGCAGCACTAATCTCACAAAATTTAAGCTTCAAAAGCATCATTTCTTTTATTTGTATCGCAGAGAGAAATATCGAGAGAGAGGGGGGGAGAGAGAGGGCCCGTTTACTTAATAAACTTAGCTCACTGTTTAAAGCATGAATCCACACCCTTGGACAATTCCTATTATTGCTTTATGCACTCGATCACATTCCTTGAGATATCTTCCAAAAAGGAAACAAAACCCATACCATTGGTAAGCCCGGTTCCATCCACATCTTGCTCTTCTATTAGATAATGTTCAAATGGGGATGCATCATCCTGACCCCCACGAATTAGCAAAAGTTTGGGGGTTATGCTTCTCTCTTGCTTCAGTTTGTTGATCGTCGCCCGAAGAAGACCTGATACAATAAAATAGCCATTAGGGGATACTATCTCTTTTGCTAATAAACTCATGCACTGTCCATATCATACGAGGCAGCCAATAATAACCAAAATCGTCAGTCCATATCATACGAGGCAGCCAATAATAAGCCTTTTGGTGCAAACTTTCAACCTCGATGCCAATGGTCATCATTGCCAAATAATATCAACTCTGCCAAATATATCAACTCTTTGAGAGTTACTATTTGGCTCAGCCAGAAAAGAGAGTTACTGGATATCAAGGACTTGAGAAAGTGTCGTTTTTTTTGTTTTTTTTTTTTTTGTGAATGTTACCTGTTAGTAGTGGGTTACAATTTTTTGAAACCATTAGTAGATTTCGGAAGGTATTAGCATTGATAGGAATGGAAACCAAAACCGGTAGTTGAATCACAGGTGGTGCTATCACCTTGCCTCAACCCCATTCCTAAGGACTCAAGAAAGTTGATGTACATCTGTTGTATAAAAGTTACAAGAGAGACAAGGATGTTCAATAGGGAGAGTGCTCTGTAATCCAATGGACTGCAAAAACAAGCCTATCATGGTCATCACAATTAATTGAAATGAAATCGACAGTAATGAGGAGTGGGATCCACTGTTTGGGTGGTCATGTTTGTTCTGAGAGGTCCCACTATCTATCCATCGTCCATCTTTACAGTGGATGGTGATGACCCTAATAGAGTATGGTGTCTCCAAAGGCCACTAGGATAAAACTCTATTTTCCATTTATTAATTCTCTACATTAACCATCAAAACGAATGTTACTTTGCTATTTTAGTTACTTATCCAAAAAAATCAAAATGAATGTAGAAAATCACTCAACCACACTTGTACCACTATATACCAAATGCAAAGAAAGATGACTTACAATCTTGGGGAGGAGGGAAGGGATGTGTAGGATCCGCAGTTGAAGAATAATATACAATGAGATTTGTGAAAGCATCGAGGAAAAATATCGGACTCCCACTAGTTAATAGAGCAGCACGGCTCAATGAATGACGTGGATAAGCTTGCTTATCCGGGGTAGAAAATGATGTCAGTGCTGGGTATATGGCACGATTAAGAGAACTTGGATCCAAAGCACTGCATTGAAAAAGTAAATAATAAGAGTAAATGTGAGAATGGGAATGTCACAAAGCTCAAAACTTAAAATTTGACACTTGATTTGCATAATAATCTTATAACATAAAAAGATCCAAGCCAATATTATTTACAAAGTAACAATGCTTTTTACAAAGTAGCAAAGTTTTTCTTTGAAGATTCAAAGTAACAAAGTTATTTTTTACAGTTTACATTGTTACTTGTAAGTGTACAAAGTACCAACATTAAAAGGAAATAAAACCCCAAAAAAGAAAAAATTGAAACAGTGCCTAGACAACTACATATGCAAAAACTTGAAATTTTGAAACAACCCCAGTCGAATATTGAACATACCAAGTAGGGAGTTTCTCAAAATTCAGGACCTAGGTTAAAGTCAAATTTAAAGATGTCTATTCTGGAACTGTTTAGGAATTTCAAGTCCCTGGAGCACAAGTGTGATTAACAAAGGCGTTGCCACGCACCGCTTCAATGGTTTTCCAAAAAAACTAGCACTAAATCTGTACGTACAGTATGATACCCACTTCATGGGTTCGGTCATAGTGTTTTTGCCCAGTGGTTGTTAAGCCATGAATAGCAGTTGTTCCAGTCCTAATCTATGCTACTTTTCTCCTATCAAAAAAATGAATGCTTTTTTTCTCAGAGGTTTATTTCCATTTTGGGGAAGTTTACAATAATTTAATGGACTGTGAAAAACCAGAATCCACTGGGATTCATCTCCATAATTAAATGGACCCTGGAATGAGTGAACCCACTAAAACAAGAGATGAACCCAACAATTTCTTCCATTCTCTCTCTACCATCCATTTTATGAAACAGTGATGGCTCTAACAGACTACGGATTTCCACAGTCTGCAGTAAACTGGAGTATCCCATAAATGACAGGCAAAGTCAAGCACCTGAAAAGGCATTGAAGATATATGCGATAGTCAGGGTGAACCCCCTCTTCATGTAACCGAAGAAGAGGATTTCTCAACAAAGCAAATACAAGTCGCGGCAAAGGCTGCAATTGTGGACATTGTAAGAAGGATACATCAACCCGTGTAGTTGGATGGCGACTTTCATGCAGGATAAGCTTGTAAGCATCATTATACTGAGCTGTGAGAATAACAAGCCATTCATGAAGCAAAAACCTCCCTTCTCTTACTCCTTGCTCCAAAGAAGCTGAAATAACCTGATCAAATTCCAGTGGTACCCATAAGTAAACCAAATTAATATGGTAAAGAATACTAAATTCCTTGACATAGAAAACCATAGTCCATTGGTGACATCGCCATCCAACAGTGATGGAGAAAATAGGAGCCCCAACAATGGGCCCAAAACTTTCCCTCCATCAACATACATAGTTTTATGGGATAGAGATCAAGGTTTTAAAAGGTCTGGCTAGGCAACCAGGGGTCCTGGCCAGCCAGCCAGGCACCTCATACCTGAGGTGGCAGACCAATGAAAAGAAAGAGGGGCAGGAGGGGGTTTCTACATAAAAACCCCCAATGAGAGAGACAAAGGATTACTTGGAGAGAGAGAGAGAGAGAGAGAGAGAGACTGTTTAAAGACTAATGAGAGAGACAAAGGATTACTTGGAGAGAGAGAGAGAGAGAGAGAGAGCAAGAGGAATAGTTGAAGAGAAAGAGAGAGTACGGACACATCCACAACAAACCCACCTCCACCCCCCCAACCCAAAAGAAAGCCAACAGGAAAAAAATAACCAAGCAAAAATTTTCAAGAGAGAGAAGACATGTTCAATGGAGACAAAATAGTGAGAGAGCGAGAGAGAGGAACAAAATATATGTACACAACACACACATACACAACAAAATGGGGGGTTTATTCAAAGAGGGCGAGGGATTGAGGATAAGTTAAAGATAGAAAATAATAACCAGTGATTTACAAACAGGTATCAAGCCCTGAATCACTAGCCGCCAGATTCCGATTCTCCCAATCAGACAGGATATTCCCAAGTTGGATCGCCATGCGGATAGAAAAGGAAGAAAAAGGAATCGGGGCAATTCCGGGTTTCTTAAACCAGAACCGTCACCTACCGATCTCGATACTACTCTAGCAATTCCGAGTCAAATTGGCAATTCTTGAATCGACAGTAACACACCCATGAACCCCCTTATTTTTCAAGAGAGAAGGGATTGGTTCAATATGGAGAGAATGGTTGAAAGAGGAAGAGAGGAAGAACACACACACACACACACATGACACAACAAACAACATAGTCTCTCTTTCTCAAATACACATACATCCACAATCTCTCTCTCTCTCTCTCTCTCTCTCTCTCTCTCTCTCTCTCACACACACACACACACACACACACACACCCCACAAAAAAGCGGGCGCCCAGGCCAAAGCGCTAGACACGCGCCTAAACGCCCATTTAGTACCCGCCTGGGTCTAGGCGGGTGCCAAAGTGCTTCGGTGCCACCTACACATCCAAGGCAGAAAACTTTTAATAAACGGACAGATATGATCTCTGCGGTTCAAGATTTGCCACAGTCCATTGATTATATAGTTCACCTTTCCAATAATAAAAAGAGAAAAGGAAAAGATCCTGGACCTCATAAACTACTACTAATTTTAATGGTAAGGTGAAATGAACAGCACATGGAGGTTAGTATAAAAACCTTTAAACCAACCAATCAAGGAAATCCAAACAAATCCCACTAATCACCAAGGACAACTTAACTTTACTGCTGCTGTTACCAAATGTCAAACTTTTATTGACGATGAATATTTACTGAAGTATAGCAAAATGTCATACATAAGCAGGAACATGTTGATAACTGACCTTGTGAACAAGGATGGAGAGGACAACTTCAGAATCTACATTGTCATAAAGCTCATTAATATTTTCTGCAACTCCATATTGCATAGTCCGTATCCTTAATCTCCTCTTTAGTGAATGCTTATTCCTGCAGTCATAAAAGTTCCTTAAGCATAAAATCAAGCCACAGATGGTAATATAGGTAAGAAAATAGAAGCAATACGATAGGAATCCCACAATATAAGACCATAATGAAAATTTAAGTGAGAAAGATAAGAATGCCAAAAATAGAAGATCATTATGAAAATTTATATGACAGATAGGAATGCCACAGTACAAGATCATTATGAAAATTTATATGACAGATAGGAATGCCACAGTACAAGATCATTATGAAAATTTACATGAGAAAGAGAGGAACGCCAAAATATAAGGCCATAATGAAAATCTGTGTGAGAAAAAATTCAAGCTAAGCTAAGGAATAACAAAGCACCAACATACTTGTCAATGGAAGTCAATCCTGACTTTGAGGTTTCCTCATGTGGCACAACAACAGTATACTGGAATGCTATCTGCAGCACAGGAAGTTCAGAGGGCCTACAAAAGAAGCACCTCAGTTTAAGCATATCCAACACATCTTCAGATACTTGATCTGACTCATACATTTATACCAACCTATTAAATTGTTTTGATTGTTAGATTGTCTAAATTGTTCTATTTTGTCAATAAAAAATCTTGGTACTGCCAAATTAATGTTTTCTTTTATCGTTTACTAGTTAATACCAAATTAACTGTTACAGCCGACAAAAACTACAATTTGATTAAAGTCTAACTAGTAAGTCATTAAACAACCATCAATTCTGTAAAAACCATCAAGACAACAAAACAGATATCTTCAGTTAACAAGCTTATAGGATTACCTTATATCAATCAAATCATTTCATGGCTCATGAAGACCATATTTATGAGTAAGCTAAAGGAAAATAAACTTTCAAATCTCAAAAGTTAATAACAATGGAATACTCACGATAAAGGGAGCATTAGGAACAATAAATGGGCTTCAAAAGCCAATATATCTAGGTCTATCATGAAGCATAAAATCAGAATGGATATTCAAATCCTCAAGCTCTAAGAAATTCAACATTTTACTACAATGGACTTTGCAAACCAAAAGTTGAAAATGGTTCTTTCCCTTGATGAATAACATTTTTATAATGAAAATTTGTAACTAAATAATGACAATGAGCATTCCATTAACTAGGTTCCTTTTACTGTTGAAGGCCAGTAATATATGCATGTCATAAGAGCAATCTTTCTTTCCTCACATTTTCAAAAGAATTCTTCAAATTCTTATGGGGTGGAGAAATCAAGATATAGGAAGTTATGTTATAGACAACAAAAAATAGCACAAAAAAACCATGTTTTGAACCATGCAAAAATATGAGAAAAACTTTAAATAAAACACTTAGTGATCTCAGGATAAGCCTGTTGAAAAACGAATAAATTGACTAATAGATGCATGCAGACTGCTAATTAAAAACTGGCACAATAAACATTAAAGGGAAAGTATCCACCATAAAGCATAATCCATTATTGTACACACTACTCCTAAAGGGATAGGTGGTCAAGATTAACTACGGGGCTGCAGAAATATTAACACCGGTACAGTTAATCTCCACCTGTCCACCATGGAGAATAGATGCTACATGCCCCTTTGGAATTTCATTTACCAACATAAAATTGCATAAAGACACTTTTCATGTCATTGTGGCATCCATACCGGGAAAAGCTGGAGTTACTAACGAACTCAAAGTCATAAGCATAGGTGGCAAATGAATCACAACAAATAATGTGTTGAACATTCTCATACTGGGGATCTGGGAAGAAATGACCATACTGCAAAAGAAAAATATCATATTGTTGATATGGCTGCTGATGATATTAATCACAAGAACAAAATCTGCAAAATTAGTAGGTATAGACTAGAAATGATTATGGATGAAGAGAATAAGAGAGCACACATACAGCACGCCCAGGTTTGAATTCAGAAGATGTTCGAAGACGCAATATGCAACCAAAAGCATATGGACGGCTCAGCATCCGGTAACTGACAAGAGTAATTACCTCATCACGAAATGCAAAAGAAATAGGGACAGCAACCTATAACCCAAAGGAATATTGGAAAAGAATAATTCCTTCGAACATCAACATCCCATGAAATGATGGAGGCAATGGAGAGTGAGTGCAGCCCATGATTGGCGTCATGTCCTGCTCTGATGGGCTCCTCTATCAATTACAATCCATTATTTCATTGAATAATGATGACTATAATATATGGACTACGATTTAGCACAGACACAATCCATGGCATTCAAGTATACAATGGTCTGAAACTAGTTTTGGGAGTTTCCTGATGGTTTTCCAAGCTGCTCTGCCTATCATTCAGCCATACAACAAAAAGAACATTAACATGGGTACTCCACCATATCATTTCATACACGGGGAATTCAAAAGACCTAAACCCAAAACCAATATGTGGTTAAGACATTCCGAACTTACATGTCTTGAGGAAGTGTTGAATCATCAGTATTTGAATACAGATACAATGAGCCACCACTCTCAATGCTCAAGAATTTTAAAGATGCCAAGTCTGTGTATTCATTTGTGACAGCAAATATGTCAACACAAACACCTGCTTGAACGGCCGCAGCAGCCTGGCAAGTGCAAATTAGTCCTTGTTGAAAGTAACTGCTCATGAATCTTCGCAGAGCTCCTAAAAGGTTTCAGTAATTTGTAGCCACGCTGCCAAAAACAAAATTACCAGATCTTTGTAGAATGGAGTTTGCTCAGGAAGCAAAGCACGATCAGCATCTTCTCCTTTACTAGCATATTGCTCACCATAGCGTCTCGTATCCAACTGGCCAGCTCCATAATCAGGAGGACCAGAAAGAAAGGCAAAGACCCTGGCTGCATATGGTATGTATCAAAAACATGAGAAGATTATTAGAAATTATCAGAAAAGTAATCGAAACACCTGCAAAGAGTGTAGGTGGCCCCAAAAATGAAACACCAAGACAGAACATGGCCCATCTTTATAATAGTGATTGTACTCCTGATTAGGTGTTTAAAATGTCAGCCAAGTGAAGGAGAAAGGGAGATTTGACCGCAGTGTACAATCTTTCAAAAAAAATGAATCAAATGGTCCATAAAAAAATTGATTGGTCCAGGTACAATGCTGATATTTCAAGTTTCTGGATGATCTAAATGACCTGTGCAGATGTTCCAAGTATGGTCCTGAAATTTTCCCAACGACTAAGCCCCACAATATAAAATAAAAATAATAATTAAAGATATACAGTTCAAGCTACCAATCAAGGAAGAAAAGAATATCGCTCAAGTTAGTGAGCAGGTCATATAAAAAATTTGAAGGCAGGAGGATGCCTTTTGGGTTTTAGCATTACCCAAAGCAAAGGTGTTTCCATATTCTGATGCGAGGTAATTTATAAGGGCATCCATTGCTACTCCAAAACCACGCCCACCAAGTAGCACACCATCAAGTGCTTGGCCTGCTCCAGTGGTTCTTTCCCATGATGTTGTGGGCTTCAAGGTTTCAAGTGCTGAGGCGATACGATCTTTACAAGTCTCGACCTAATCCAGAAATCAGAAGAACCCAATAACTAGTTCAAAATTTTATGCTGTCGTATGCCTGGAGGCGTGATTACTATAGAATCGACCATCCATGAAAAAATAAGCAAAAGATCAGTTGGTTCCCCAGGGCATATTTCAATGTCAGAAACTTTTCTTTTTGCAGACATATAAATATAGGTTAACTGCTATCCCAAATATCGGAATGGCAACCATGCATAAGGCTGTGGTGAATGAAAATGACTATTTTGCCCATCACCACTGCTTTATTTTTGAAAGGTTTACAATTAAATTGGTTACAATACGGCAGCCGAGATACCCAGAGATATCCTTTTTTTCTTCTGTTTTGACTCAGTTGCCAGCTTTCTGGGAGAAACAGAAGAATAATGCAACCTCCAGAATCCCATCTACCTGGATGTAAGCCAAACAACTTAATGGCTTGATTTTAGTTAGGATATGCTTTAAAAATAAAGCAGAGTGGAGGGACTTGAAGTGATATGTAAGGATGAGGTCACCTCACCCTCGTCTGATATTATGAAAGACTTCATTTTATTTTGGGGCTGACAATATTACGTATGTCCCAGTGATTGCCTTGCCTTTGCATGAAAGCAGTAAATATCACAATTTCTAAGTTCTAACATGTTTTCTTTATAAGTAGTTTGAAACATCAAATTAGCACAAATCAGATTTATATCAGCTGTTCACATACAGGAGCAAGGAAAGACAGCAATGGCATAGCATCTTCAAGTTCAATGGGTAATGTTTCATCGATCTCTGGAGGAATGAAAACATTTTTTACAACTGGTATGGGCCCTTGAACATCATATAGCCCTATTTTGTGGCTAAAGGTAATAAGCCCAAACAATGATCCTGGCCCAAGAGCTACAATATGCAAACAAAAACAATGTTAACTCAATGATATCACAACAATTGGCTAGGTGACCTAATAATCACACACGCACAAAGTCTCTGAAGTCTCATTACCTTCTAGAGCAGCTAAGAGTCCACTTTTAACTAGTTCCAAGAACTCTTCAGAAGCTGCAGAAAATTTTCAAAAGCTCAAGCAAAATTGTGATAAAAGTTGATATAAATGAGTGCTTCTCATGAGCAAGTAAACACTAGACAACACTATGAAAGAAGAAAATGAAGCAGCAGATAGACTTAAAATTTAGTGAAAGAAAAAGAAAGAGATACGTGGCATGAGTGGCTACTAGCACTACAAAGTACAAACAACCAAAGTGACACCATAACGATCAGTGATAAAAATTCTTCGATTAGGATCGGAGATCACCAGTCCTGATGGGGAATCGCTCAATGCCATGCCAGTTCCTGATTGGAATCAGCAATTTAATACTATATGGTATATAATATGTACTACTAGTACAAGCAAGGTTCAAATGCTTTGGCTGTTATTGCCGCAATCTTTTATCAAGAGAAGGGGTTCAGTATCCTCCCGGCGGCTGTTTCTTTTTTTAACTTCCATCCTATATAATTTTTTAACATGTAAAAAGAAATCGGAGGAATTGATCCTCCTCCGTCTTGGTTGCCAACCGCAGTGGCCTAACCAACCACTATTTGTTATTGCTGATATTACTTTTAAATATATTATATGTAACATAATACAACTTTTGCTTTCTTTTTCTTTCTTTTTTTTTCTAGATTGCCGATTTCGCCAGTCTAGATCGGGATTGGTGGTTGAGCATTCCACACCAACAAACCCTTTTTTAAAACATTAAAGAAAATAGAGACCAGTGTTCTAGAACTCGGCTCGGGCAACGGACTCGGCCTTGGCCAAAGTTAAGTTACTCGGACTCACCCAAGTAGTAAGCAATTTAAAAACCAAAAGCAAAAATAAAATAAAAATAAAAAAGATTGGGGGACTTTGGCCACAAGCCTAGGGGGGAGAGAGGCCTTTGGGCACATGGCCTAGGGTAGAGAGAGAGAGAGAGAGAGAGAGAGAGAGGAGCCTTTGGCCATGTCTCTCCCACTGTCACAGACACCTCTCTCACAGATCTCTCTCTCCTCTCTCATAATGATCTTCCTCTCTCTTCCTTCTCTCTCATACAGGTATCTCTCTCTCAAGGATCTCTCTCTTCTTTCTCTCACACAAATCTCTCTTCTCTCTTTTTCATTGGCATCTCTCTGTTTTGTCTCTCACATAGGGATCTCTCTATCTATTCTCTTTCTTGCATAGGAATCTCTCTCTCTCACACACACACACACACAGATATCCCTCTCTCTCAAGCATCACTCTCTCTTGAAGGAGAGACCATTGGAATCAGAGAGTGGATCTCCACTCCCTTTTGGAAAGAGCTGACAAAGGGGGAGATTTTTACCCCTTTCAGAGAGAGATGAAAGGGGGAGATTTCTGCTCCCTTTTAGAGGGAGGGAGGGAGGAGAGAGAGAGAGAGAGAGAGAGAGAGAGAGAGCACTTAGTAGAGACAGATGAAAAGGGGATGGTGCCCCCATTTTAGAAAGGAGTGAAAGAGATAAAATAATGAGGGTGAAGCACCCTTTTTATAATGGAAAACTCAATTTGGCGCAAGCCCGAGGCGGACTCAGCCGAGATCTTGAAACACTGATAGAAACTTTACAGGATGTACTTTCAAGAATTTAGTGTGGGCACCTGTCATGCATACCAAATAATCTTAAAAAAAGATAGTTGCATTGAAATATCAATGATGTTAAGACCAAATAGGACTGGGAACCACCAGATTGGTGACAATTCATTTAGTCCAAACATTCTGACTGAAATGTCCATTGAACAGACACAAAACCAGTGCATTGGCTGGTTCAATGACTGGACTAGCTGATTCGACAGGCTTGACAGGTCCAGTTCAGACTAGCCCATCTTGATATGGCTAAAAAAAACTGAAAAGCCCCTCTTTTCGCAATTTTTTAATCAAATTTCACGATTTTTGAGTTTTTTTGTCCTTTTGAAATACTTTAGGGGGCCATTTAGTATTTTTATACTTGAGAGGGTTGGGGGGTTAAAGAGTGAATTTTAGTAGAGAAGAAAGAAGTACTTGTCGACTTTTGTTTCGTCTCTCTCTCTCTCTCTCTCTCTCTCTCTCTCTCGTTAGTATATATAATATCTATGCATAATATATATATTAGGGTTATGTTAGGGTGCTCACACAATGGAGTAGCTTATCATTGTACTCAACAAATTTTGGACACTTCTATACTCTTGTTTTGTACATGGAGCATTTTTTTTATAAGGGTATTTTTTGTCATTAGGAGGGGTGTGACATCATCCATATGGGATGTGACATCACCCACATAGAGCACACTAGTGGTATTTAATGCTCCATGTGGATGATGTCACCCCCCATGTAGATTATGTCAGATGACGTCACACCGCTCCTAATGACCAAAAATATCCTTACTAAAAAAAGATCTATGTACAAGGCAAGGGTATATAAGTGTCCAAATTTGTTGAGTATAATGATAAATTACTCCAAGTGTGAGCACCCTAACATAACCCTATATTATTTAATATAGATATATATATATATATATATATATACCACACACAACCAAACTACCTAAACTT